TTTCATATCAATTATTGGGCCCTAGAATTGATCTCCCCAATTTTAAAATGCTCCAATTGGGTGTAAATCATCTGATTATACTATTTAGATTTGTTTCCTAAATTAATGCATTAGAATTTTATGTCTATCCTAAACACTAACCCCATCACTAGTATTTTAGACTATATTGACAAAAATAAAATAAAAAAAACTTTACGTAAACATAAGTCCACTTGGAAGATACTGCAAACATCATAATTCATAAATATGGTCAAATAATTTATCTTTTTTTTCTATTATTGCCTCTTTCATGGGGAATATTTTTTGTTATTATAATTTATTAGTTTTTTTTTAAAAGGGTGCACTAATTTCTTGAATTTCTTTCTAACGGTTATTATGTGCACCCCTACCCTCTTTTTATAATATACTTTTTAGGCTTTTCAACCATTCAATATGATTTTGGAAAATTGCTTTTGTTAAAACGTAAACAATAATCGTAGTCGTTTTTGTTTATCTATTTTTTAAAATAACCTTAATTATAGTATGTAAAATCGGTCTATATGTTATGAATCGTTCCATTATCACTTTGATGAATCATTTTCCACTTATAATTTAGAGTTTTAGAATAGATTCTTGTCTTATTCCTTATTTGGTTATTAATCGTGTAAGATTATAAAGTTTATCTATATACTACAAATGATCCCATTATCACTCTGATGAATCATTTTTCACGTTTAATTTAAAGAGTTTTAGAATATATTCTTGCTCGATTCCTTAATTTGTTCATTTAGTGTGTTTTCCACTAAAAACAAGATGAATTTACATGAGGATTTCTTCCCAAAGATATAATGTTGAGTTGGATAGTGATAATAATATTATTTTAAGTATAATTTGATTATGAAAGCTTAAAAAAACTTTATTCTAAGAGCAATAAATGAAAAAATAGACAAAACCTATATGACCCTTTTTTTCCCCACACTACATACACCTATATGACTAGCTAGATGTATAATTTATAGTTAAAATACAAATGATGATAGATAATTATGCTAAAATATACACATTAACTGTCATAATCTTCAACTTGAATTATCCATCAAAGGGGTCAAAATCCTTAGATTTTCTTCTATTTTTAATCAGATTTTATTTTGGTATCTTTTTTAATTTCAGGGCATAATATTGGTAAAGAATCATTTATATGATGACATAGACATTAATTGGATATTAGCAAATAGCAAGATGCCTATATAAGAATGAAATTAAAAATTACCTAATTTTGTATGTGACATTGATTTAATTATTTTAATAATAATTAACCAAAAATAATTCATTCAAATCTTACCTGGAATGTACGTCAGGACTAGTAAATGAGTATCGACGTATTTATAAACAAGATTAAATAATTATAATATTAACTAATCACTTCCCTTTAACATTATTTAATAAAAGATGTTTTAAAAAAAAAAAAACCATGTTGGTCTTATATTAGATACAAATTCAATAATTTTTGCTTTATATCTGGAATGAAACGTCTTGGTCATTCACCATTCGATTGAGTCAAATTAATTAATTTTAATCGTTGATCAAATCAAGACGTATAATTTGGATTAGGACTAATGTTTTGTTATGTCCTTTATGTTTGTTACTCCAGAACATGAAACATTACATATGTTCAATGTACTTACATCAAATTAATTAGCCACTATGTGTTGTCGTTAATTGTGTTCTAATCATACTTGATTAATTTAACCATCTGAATATTAGGACCTATAAATGTTTATCAAATTCTTCTATTGACAAAGACTAATTAAGAAACAAATTTGTGGTGGTTATGGAGGAACTAAAAGAAACAATGAAGTTACATCATTTTCTTTACTAACAAACAGAAACAAGTAGTTGAAAATAATAAATTCAAGATGGGCCAAGGATTCACATTAATAATTCTACATACTATTCTTAGAATTTGGTCTTTGATTCACACGTGATACACCTGCAACGCACGTGATCGTCAGAAATTGATAAATAAAAAATGGGTCTAGATATTTATATTTAAAACGATGTATACATAATACACTTATTGGTAATCACAAACACACTTTGGCATTGGGTGAATGTTAGATAAGAGCATCACCTCTAAAAATCAATCTTGTAATACTTGAATTTAAATGTATTGGTCAGACACCAATATTGATATCGATAGCAAAACAAAATAAAAGAGAAAGAAAGAGACTCATACACATTGACTATAGCACATTTATGTTGAAGTCCACAAAACCTAACTTAGTAGGTATTTTGGAAAGAGCCATATCTAATTGTATCCACTTGCGTCTATAACAAGTTCTTTTTTTATTGTATATATATATATACATATATTTGGAAGAAAACTCAAAGTCCTCTTAGGTTTTGGTCAATATACTTTAGGCAACTCATGAAATTTGGAAAATCTTCTAGTGATTTTTTTTAGGTCTCTTTATTTTTTTGGGTGGGGTGGGGTGGGGGTGGGGGGAGGGGGAGGAGGGGTTAATTAACTAGATATATGTACTAACACCATATGTTTTATATAATCATATACTAAATAATAAATTTTGTAATCTTAAAATTACTTATTACTTAAATAATGTAGTATAATGTTATAAAAAACTACATTACTACTGATAAGTTTGTCTATATCGAGTGAAATGATTTCATAATGTAAAAGTTATTTAATATGTCATTATATTTAGTGTAAAAAATATTTATTATATCATTATATATAAGTTAAACTTTTGAATTTGATAGTATACGAGCTTAATTATAACAAAAGTATGGCTTAGAAGGTAGGACACGTTAATAATTAAGCAGTCAAAGTATGTATACATTAATTATTATACATATACTATATATCTCAACAAGTGGACCTAATTATTGTCACAAATATTGCAGTTGGTCAATTATTTGAAATCTAACAATAGCCAACTATTGAAGACGTAGACTCAATCTAATACGTACTCAACAAGTTCTTCTACTATTCATACATAACTACTTTTTTTTTTTTTGTTGTTGATAATTATGGTGTTACAAGAGAAAAATCGTATAATATTTTTTTCTCCAAAACTCAAATTTAATACTTCATAGTCATTCTTCTCCCCACTTCATTGTTTTTGAATGATATTTGGTAAGATAGATATTTTAAAGTACTCATATATACGATATATAAACAGCAATCAGAATTATGATATAGCAATAAATATTTATTTATCAGTAATTAGATATTTTGAATGTAAGTATTAAGTATGATATTGTATTTAAATTTAAATTTAAATTCAATATATACATCAGGTGAAATAATAAAAGAAATTTGTAATTTATATATATATATATATATATATATATATATATATATATATTTATATATATATATATATATATATATATATATGTATGTATATATTAAATTTGTAAAAGTTGATCTTTCTGTATGAACATGGTAGCCATCCATCCACCAATAGGAATGCGACAAAGCTAAATAATTCTGTTTAATTGAGTCTTTTCGTAATTATATTTTTAACTTAATTAGTAGCAATATTAAAAGCAACAATCAGGCACCACTAGTTTCTAATTTTTAACCTGATTAAGCAATTAGATTAGTAAGACAGATCCATAATCAATGCTTAGATTTCCTTCGTGTGTTTTATGGCTTTATTAATTCAATCCATATGTTCATCAATCATCATTAACTTAATATTTCTTCCTTCAGTTCAGGGAAGATAGACACTAATCAATTAGTATTAATTAATTTATTAAATGGAGGTCTAATTTCTTACTATTAATTAGTTCCAAATACTATAATGCAACTCTAGGCTATTCTTGCCTAGCACCAATGTCCTCAATATTTTATTAATATATTACCTTATGAACATCATTTACACATTAAAAAGGAAAAAAAGGACAAAAATTTCATCTTTCATTTTTTTTCTTTGTCAATATTCCCTATTAGTTTTATAAATTTCATAATCTCTCTTTTTACGCATTCTATTAATATATATATTTCACGCATTAAATTAATGTATCTCGCATATTAAATTAATGTATTTCGTGTATCAGATTAATGTATCTCGCGCATCAAATTAGTGTATCATGTATAAAATATAATGTATCTTACTTAACGATTGATATATGTCGCGCATCTCATTAATGTATCAGCACTTATATTATTGTAGAATTTCTATAAATATAAACTTATAAGAGTCAAATAGTAATTTTACATTAACAATATATATTTATGTTATTTGCCCAAGAAAATATAAATCACAGTCGTTAGCCTTTGCGCTTATATATATATAGAAGAGGTAAATCATAGTAAACAAGGCCTATACGATAAGCCCGATGAAAAAATATATATAATATTTCAAACTTGAGATTTAAGACTATCTAAATTTTCACCTTGTTTAATTCGTCGGAAAAACAAAAGAACGGACCCCGTCGAACCAGTCCTTCCGCCCACGTGAAGGTTTCCTTGTATGTGTCCCCACAGAGATCCTCCGTATCCCTTAATGGGCCCCGTTAAAACCCGGGCCCATCAAAGTTCACTCGTGTCAGGCCTCATCCTCGCACGTGACTATTCTCTTCCCATCTTCACTTTCCTCTGTTCTCTTTTTTTTGTCCTATAAATACCCAACTTGTATCTCACATCATAGACAAAATCTCAAATTAACTCACAAACTTTACTATAAACTTTGTTCTTATTATTTTTTATTTTTAGAAAATTTATTAACATTTCTTACACCTTCAAATATCTTTTGACGTTATAAATGATTTTCTCTTAAGAAAAAAAAAAGGATTTTTGAGAATCTTTTGCATGTTTTCGATTTTGGTAAATCTTTAAAGTGTAATCTGTCTTACGTTAGTCCCACGCTTCTGCTGACGATACTGGTACTTCTCTTCCTGTCACAAGATTTTGTTCCCTTTTCCCAAAGTCGCGGTATTTATTTCAAATTTTAAATCCGTCTCTCTATATACACGAATCCTTACTCTTTACAATTATGGCTACGAAATTATTGTTAACGCTAGCGATATGTCGCTTAATTGTTACCGTGGGATTTACTTTTAACCCAAATGACCTTTTACGGCTCGGGCTCGATGGTAAACTCAGCGCAGCTCCAGCCGATTTACAATCCGCTTCAGTGGATTTTGGCGGAGTGTATAGAGCCGAGCCGATGGCGGTTCTTCACCCGGCTACATCCGAGGATGTAGCGAGGCTTGTAAAGGCCGCGTACGACTCGGCTCGTGGGTTCACCGTGTCGGCTAGAGGTCATGGACATTCTATAAACGGTCAAGCCATGACGAGAAATGGCGTTGTGGTTCAAATGAGCGGCGGCTTGAAAAATAAGATGTTGACTGTTTCTGAGAAATTCATGTACGCTGATGTTTGGGGTGGAGAATTATGGATTGATGTGTTGACGTCCACGTTAGAATATGGTCTCGCACCGAAATCATGGACTGATTATTTGTACTTAACTGTGGGTGGTACTCTCTCTAATGCTGGAATTAGTGGTCAAGCTTTTAATCATGGCCCTCAAATAAGCAATGTCCATGAACTCGATGTTGTTACAGGTACGATTCACTTTTTTTATACTGTCAGCGTATATATTAGCTTATTTTTCGTAATAGCTATTGTTACGAACGAAAGTGGTTTGCCAGATATGTAACTTTAGAATAATAACATGGGATGTTAGGATAATATTTTGTTTTGTAATATTTTTAGATGGGCACAATACCTTTATTTTTGTGTTAATTATGTACGTACTTCACGAAATTGTGGATGTACTACCACATGGGGTGTTTTGTTTTTAAGCTTAACTACTTATAAGGTATGGTATAATCATTGTAATTAGCAAGTACCAATAATTATGTTAAGATGATTGTCATTATTATTGAGATAAAATTGGAAACAAATTAGTACTATATGATTAATTAGTACCATTTTATCATAATTGATGTGACATATGTTTGAAAACAGGTAAGGGTGAGCTATTGACATGTTCAGAAAAGGAAAATTCTGAGCTGTTTCAAGCCGTTCTTGGTGGATTAGGACAATTTGGGATCATAACAAGAGCAAGAATTGCACTTGAACAAGCTCCTCAAAGGGTATATATATATATATATATATATATATATATATAAAAATTTTTCTCTGAATACGTTATATTAAAATAAAGTCTGTGCACATTTCACTCTTTTCGAACTGACAATGTCACAAATAAAAATAATATATTGTTATTGTTAAACTTTACATGGTGGGGTTTTAATTATTTTTTCTTCTTAGTATTAGTTTTTGGACAAAGACACGAAAGGAGGTGGCATAATTCATGACATATGAGATGAAAAATGGGTCCTTTGTATGTAGCTTTTTCCAACTTCATTTTAAAAAACCGTTGTTTTTAAGGCACTGTTAATGTTGACATCACTTTTAATTTCCACAAAGAAAATTGTATAGGCTGATGGTCAACGTAAAATTTTATCAATACATGACGAGACAAATCCTTTAAACTATCTTGGTTTTTTAAGTTACTATTCATTTCTGCTATTGTTATAGTGTATAAAAGTTAAACTCGTTTATTTAATATGTATGCAGGTGAGGTGGATTCGAGTACTATATTCAAATTTTTCAACATTCACACATGACCAAGAATATTTAATATCATTGCATGGAAAACCATCTTCACAAAAATTTGATTATGTTGAAGGATTTGTTATAGTTGATGAAGGGTTAATAAACAATTGGAGATCTTCAATTTTCTCACCAAGTAACCCTGTCAAAGTTTCTTCTCTTAAAGCTGAAGGAGGTGTTTTATATTGCTTGGAAATCACAAAAAATTATCACCTTACAAATGCTGATACCATTGATCAGGTTTGTTCCCACTATATTCTAATCAAAATTATAACAACACCGACAACATACTTCGTATAATTTTACAAAAATAAATTTTACCTCTACTGTAAATATAAGATTAGGATTATATTAATCCACTGTTAACAGATAATCCGTCTTATTCCATATAAAAAGTTTAAAATATGCGTATAACTTTAACTCAATTAAAAGTTATACATATTTTTGCTAAATATATTCTATTGTTGTTACATCATTATTATGTTTTCTTGATAGATTACTTAAGTTTTAAAAAAGTGTCTTTTTTTTTTAGTTTAATTAGTTTCTTGATTCCTTCACACATGATGCACACTATTACTAATTTGAAATTAAAAGATGGATAAAGTTGATGATCTATCGATGCTATATAAACTTTAACTTTAATTAGCTCTCTGATTAATGCATGTTTAGTGCGAATAAAGCCTGTAAAGTATACAATTAATATTTTTGCTAATAGGTGGCGATACTATACCTTAGACTCCTATTTTTCTTTCTTTTATTTTACCTACTCAATCTTCTTAGATATTAATAACTTGTACTATAAAATTATTTTATTTTGTATCTGATTATGAATATTTAATTTATTATTCCCAAATATTATTTCATATTACAATAATAGGCTTTAAATAACTAATTTTATGAAATATTATTATCTATTCCATGTCGATAGCCAAACGACTTGGATTAGCAAGATTAAGAAATGTGGTATGTTATTTAATTAATTAATTTCTGACATTAGAAAAATAAGAACATTCTACAAAGCTTATCTGTCGTTATTTCTGTTTGGTACATATCCAAAACAATATATTTTTTAAAAAACAAAATATTTTTTTAAAGTATAATTATTTTATTTGATGACAGAATTTTACGTAAAAAGATGGAACACAACATGCACAAGAAAACATGGAAGATCTTCCATAACCTATCAGATCCTAAGATAGAAATTATTTTTTCTAAAAAAATAATTAGTATTATATATTATTATAATATTTAATTATATCTAGTGACCACCCACCAATATTTATTCCCTCAAGCCTAATAATTCGGTTAATTTTTTCAATTTTTAATTAGAGTTTGCATTAAAATAAAGATAAAAGTTCAATTTTTTGTACTTTGATTTTATTATTTAATTTCATATTTTTTTTAATGAAAATGCAGGAGATTGAAATATTATTAAAAAAATTAAATTATATTCCAGCTTCGGAGTTCACAACGGACCTTCCTTACGTGGATTTTTTGGACCGGGTTCACAAGGCCGAGTTAAAACTCCGGTCTAAAGGTTTATGGGAAGTGCCACATCCATGGCTAAATTTATTTGTACCAAAATCAAGAATTGCTGAGTTTGATAAAGGAGTATTTAAGGGTATTTTGGGAAACAAAACTAGTGGTCCAATACTCATATACCCTATGAACAAAAACAAGTAAGTTCTCATCTCTTGTAAATTTACTCTTATACCCTTTAAAAATCATTTCAGAATTTTTGATTCATGAGTTCTAAATATTAAAAACAGTGATCTAGCGAATTCTTAATGAATTGATTAGTTTTTTTTAGTATAAATATGAAATTTAATCAAAACTATCATGTTATGTCACACTCGTAACTTGTAAAATTAAAGCATGTGTGGTTGTTCTTTCATACAAGTAATCTTTTGTAACATGTTAAAATATGATGATAGTAAAATACAACGATAACACATGTGTTCGTCACTTCTAATTGAAATGTATGACGATATTATCTAAAAGCTTAATCTGATCGTAAAAAAACACTCAACTATATGTATTGACATGATATACTTGTACAATCATCTATCTACCTCTCTTACGTTGATTGTCCTTGCATGCATGCAACAAATTAAAACACTATGTATATGATTTTATGTATAATGAATATACATTATTGTATATACTTTTGTTGTGCCATTAATTTACTCATCATCATGAGTCGTGACACAAACTTTTGTAGAACTAGTGATATGTCTATGTCATGTCATGGAATACTACTCACAAATTTTGGATTATATGTTCATCAGACATCTCACCCAATTTTCTCAATTTTATCGAAAATTACGAAATACGTAAAAGAATCAATTTTTTCCACAAACATTCGTATAGTATATGGTCCATTTGTTAATAATGGTCCCTATAGCTTAAAAGTGTCTACTTTTTCGTGCAGAGTTTTGCTGTAATTTTGTTTTGTTCTAGCTACCAAACAAACAGTAAAATAAAATTGTCTATAGTAAATACGAACAAATCCAATATAGGAATAAAGACAAAGTGGGATCAAGTTGAGAATATAATTTACGCGCGCTTTAAATATATATTTAGAGGTTTATTCGAGTTTTCTTTGGTAAAATATATATTATTAATTTATGTATATACAATAGGGAATTGTACTTCTTTGTTTTTTTTTTTATATATATTTACTTTTTTCATATTTATAATTTTATTAAAAAAAATTCTGACTTCGCAACTGTTTCGATATCCCACTCCCTGGTCAGTGGTTTATTTTTGTTGTTGTATGATAAGTGGCATGTCAAGCTAAACACGTGGCACACATGCATGATTTTCCAGCAAGGATAATTAGAACTATTTTTTTCCAAAATAAATCCAACAATTAATTAGAAATGGTCCAAATTAAACATTCAAGATTTTCTTGTCAGGAGGATCTTCCTTAAGGGGACCAATTTTATTTGGCTTGTGTAACATTGTAAAATTATCTTCTAGTACTATATAGTCCAATTAATACAACACACTTATTCAACTTTTATCGCTTACGAAAAATTCTGCGTATTTCAGATGGGACGATAGAAGTTCGGTAGTTACACCAGAAGAAGATGTGTTTTACTTGGTCGCGTTTTTGAGGTCAGCATTGGAGAGTGGTGATGAGACGCAAACGTTGGATTACCTAAGTAATCAAAATAATGAAATATTGAAGTTTTGTGAGGATGAAAGTATAAATGTGAAACAATATTTGCCTCATTATGACAATCAAAGAGAATGGAGGGACCATTTTGGAGAAAAATATTGGACAAGATTTCAACAAAGAAAATTAGAGTTCGATCCAAGGCATATATTAGCAACCGGCCAAAGGATTTTTATGCCTTCTTTTAATCCTAATATTGCTAATTGGTGACGTTTGATTACCTATTAATTAATTGGTATTAGTAGTTATTAATTAGGATTTAGAGATTAGTTGAGATCAAAATTAGTTAGTAATAGATTTGATAGGATCGTGTTTAGTGTATTTTATGTAAATATCAAGTGGGAAAAAAGAGCAAAATATTATTAATTCACTTATTTATTTAGTAAAGAAGAAATTAATCTTCATCCCAATGATTGGGTTTCGAGTTTAATCTATGTTCTTCTTTTTTCTTTTCCACGTAAAGATATTTGATATCTGCTTTATTGTCTGACGATTAATTTTAATTTGTATAGAAAATTTCACTTTGAAAAATAATACATTTTCTATTATAAATTTACATGATTTTATATAAATATCACTTGCGAATAGGTATTTACTCCATAATTTCTATTTGTAAAAGTGTAGTACGGTTGAGGAGTGGTTGGTTCTATAATTTTGTCATTTTGCAAGCATACATTTGCATTATTTGGGAGGGCCTCATATTTTCTTCATGAATATGACCTATCAATTAAGAGGTCATCTTCAAGAATATTTCACAAAAAATTATAATAAAAGTAGAAAAAGACTTGTGTTTTCACAAAAAAATTATAATAATTAGAGAAGCTTTTCATTTGCAACTTGGAATTATTGTTAAAGAGTATACTATTAAAGCAAGACTAGGAACCATTTTGAAAAACTCTCTAGGCTTATCCCTTTTTCGAGATAATTGTTTAGTAAATGATTCTTCATCTTTTTCAGAAAAAATAATATTATTGACCTTTTAGATAGCACGACGATATTTGTGTATATAAATCACCATTTCTGCGATAGATTTAGTGCGCATTTTGCTGCTTGGGCTGGACCCAATTTGTGTTAATCACTACGGTTGGCCCAATATGCATTGGGCTTCCTTTATAAATGGGCTTATTTTCTCAATATGCTTTGGGGATAAGCCCATGTTAACGGGTTTGCTATCTAATTTTGTGAAAATTTGACTTTTTTTTCTTCTTCATATTTTAAGGTCAAATTTATTTTTTATTTATATTACTCGACTATAAGACCTTATGAATTTTTTCCTTTTGGTCTGAGACCTTATAACTTTGAAAAACCCTATTTATTTTCCCTTTTATTCGATTCAATAGTTCAAAATCTATGTATTTTTATTTTTCAATAACTCTTTAAGATACAAGATCCTAATAAATATAGTTCTTATATAATAAGTTTTCAAAATTTTAAGCCCAAATCAATTCTTTCAACAATAATATGATATAAAGATTTGTTGGCCTATGTTTTTTAAACAATTTAAAAGATCATGTTTCGTGCTCTCAGGTGAAATTAATCAATGTTATTTCCTAATTGTCATTTTTTAATTTATAAAGAATAAATATTATTGAGTTTATAGATTTATCTGATCTTTCTGCTTCATATAGGTGCTTTGGATTAAATAATCATATAACAATTGACATTAAAATAGATCAATCAACGCCTTAATATCAATAATTTATGATAATTTTTCAAATTAAGAATTTCGTTTCACTAATAAGATCCAATTCAGTTAACTAACCAACCGAATTAGTATGCAATTGAGTTCATATTTACTTTTTTGTATGACATATAAGATAAAATGTAAATTAAAATGTGAAATATATGGAATCAATTAAAAACAACAAATCTAGACTAAATCTTTTTTTCTTTCTTCCAAATTTTATTCTTCAAAAAATAAAAGATATGCAGAACTTTTTAACATTCCAATAAACGAATAAACTTTTTCCAAAAATCCCACGTGGACCTTTTGTCACGTGACTCCTCCTACAACATTCTCCACGTGTCCAAATCTAACGGTGAAACTCACGTGATACATCTCACCAGAAAAAACCCCATTGACCCGATTTGATCAATTTCTGTAACAAAATCTCCTTTTTTAATTTGCAAAATAACCCAATTACTTTTCATAATTATAAAACAACCCCCTAAAATTTCTCATCACTTACATTTTATACCCTCAATAAATTTTTACTTAAATTGATTCACTTGACGTTCACTCTACGCAGACCAGTTCCTTTTTCCTTCTTTTTCTCTTCTGTAAGAATTCGCACACCATCGACACCATGACTAGTGCTTCTGCTTCATCTCGCAAGGTTTGTTTTTATGTCTATTTGTTAAAAAAATTGAATCTTTTATGAATTATATGAACTTTTTTTTAGTTTTGGTAAAATGGGGTTGTTAATTGAGTTGAAATGTAGTAGGTTTTGAGCAAGATCGCTTGTAATCGGTTGCAAAAGGAGCTAATGGAATGGCAGGTTAATCCTCCTGCTGGATTTAAACATAAAGTTACTGATAATCTTCAAAGGTATATAGTTTTTTTAGTTTTTTTTATGAAATTAATTTTTGTGTTAAATTTCAAGAAAAGGGTAGATTGGAAAAAGGAAAAAGATTTCATCGTGACTGGTTTTTTTTCATGAATTGTTTGGATTTTGTGTGCTAGATGGATCATTGAAGTGAATGGGGCACCAGGAACTCTGTATGCTAATGAGATGTATCAGCTTCAGGTTGATTTTCCTGAGCATTACCCTATGGAAGCCCCTCAAGTGAGTTTTGCTGCTTTTTTAAGTATAATTTGTGAAGAAAATTGTGTCTTGCTGTTGTTGTAGCTTAAGTTTAGGATCAAAATTTTGTTTGGTTGAAGATATAAGCAGTAGATATTTTCAGTTACTATATTAAGAAATTTCTAGGCTTTGTCAGTATGGTGAAGTGCAACATTCATTTTAAAAAGGGAATATGTTGAGAGAATTCTTTATTGCTACAATAAACTAATAGAAATACTTTAATATATATGTATGTTTTTGTGTTGGTTTAACAGCTTTAAATACTTCAATGGGGAGTCTGATTTCTGTTGTCGTATGTTTGGTATGCAAAATATTAGTTTACTTGTTTGATATAGTAATTTTCTTCTTTAAAAGTTTATTTTATCTCTTGACTTGACAGGTTGTTTTTATCCATCCAGCTCCATTGCATCCTCACATTTATAGCAATGGACATATCTGTTTAGGTTTGTTTTCCCATCCTATGCGAAACATTTGTTTACTCATTTGGTCTTAATTACTTACTACGATGCAATAGAGTAAAGTAATCTATGTGGCACTTGAATACGTAAGGAACAAAAACGGCATATATCTTATGACTTTACAACATGAGGCGGGTGAGAACTGAGAAGCATTTTCCCCCTGCATGGCCGTTTCACAACGATATCGTACCAATTCAAGATACCATTTCTTTTTTTTTTTGGTCCAAAAACAACGTTATCTTGAATTGGTACGATTATTTGATTGCAATTGTGCTAAGTGTTGTGCTGTTGCCCGTTTTGCTTCCTTGATTATGTTTCTCTGTTTTTCTTTTGTTCCGTGTACTAGTATGTTGCTTCTCAACAAGCGAGTTGAGTAATGATTAAATCAGTGTTCTTAATGGCGCTCGCCATTCGCCAAAGGCGCTATGGCGAGGCGAGGCGACCATGTAATGCCATTCCTCAGAGAGGCGTGGCAAGATCAATTAGGCGATGTGAGGCGACATAATGGCGACCTGAATGGCGCCGCCTTTTATTTTAAAATATTTAAAAAGGTCTTGATAATATTTGTCAAAATTAGGGTTTTTTCATATTTCCAGTCAGTCACGACTCGCGTATCTTCTCCTCAACCCTGCGATCTCTTCTTCTCCTTCAGTGGACTCGCGAAAGTATGGCCCCTTTTCTTTCTTCTTCTCTTCATTTCTTCGTTTCTTCTCTTCAGTCCTCTTCTTCTCTTATTTTCTTCTTTTCTTCTGTTCAATTTCTTGTGAAGTGAATCTTAAATTCTGAAATCTGAAAGTTCTGAAGTGCTTGCTGTCTTCACTCTTCACTCTTCACTGCTCACTGCCTTCACTACTCTTTTTTTTCCCTCTGTTTTCTTCACTGCTCTGTTTTTTCCCTCTGTTTTTATTGTTTACTGTAAAATGCTGCGGACTGTGTGTTGTCCATTATTTTTTTGAAAAAAATTAATTCTTCTATAGTAATTATTATAGTATTTGCTAATATATGTAATTGCTATTGAAATTTTGAATATTTATATGTGCAATTAAATATTTTTAATTTTTGGTATTAATTGGTGCCTCGATTCAAAAAGGCGAGCGCCTCGCCGCTCTCCTCGCCGCAGGCCCTTTTCGCCTCTCGCCGTCCAAAACACTGGATTAAATCTAGCCTATATATGGTTATTTCGATTTGGCTCTGTGGACTTGTGGTGCATTCTTTCATTTGTGTATGTGTCTGTTGAACTCATGTTTGTGGAAATGAATATGAAAATAAATTAGCGTTTAACCTCTCCTGGATATTTTGAAGCTTAAATTAGACCCGCTTGGTCAAATCTAAGATTCCTATTTTACACATAATGACACTCCTTTGTAAGAATGACATGCCATTTTAAGACCACAAGATTCATAAGGTACTTTTGGTATGTTATACACACCTTCAACTTTGTGGTTAGTCAATCTAAGATACATAAAATGAACCGGAGGGAGTAGTATATTATAGCGCCAATTCTACAATTATTCTAAGACTAATTTTCTTGTTTCCTGGTAATATTCTTGTATCGTGGAGAGTTCCTCTTAAACTATATATCATAATCATGTATTAAATTCTCTTCACAAGTTTATAACGTAATCCCGAGTTAGATGGGTAGAGAAACCCAGGTCCATTATCTACTGAGTTTCGAATCGTGCACTACTTGGCCCTCGGGGTTTCTCGGTTATAAAAAAATGGTAATCCTGGGGTTCATGAACTGCTGCAACAACTCTTCTATTTTAGCATGTTTAGGAATTGACGGATTCTTGTATTCCCAATTCCATGACTAGATCATTTTTCTACATGTTGGCATCATTTAACTCAAGGTCATAAACTATTATGTTGTGTACTTGGCATCATCCTCTTGATCTCTTCACGTTTTTATACTGTGTCTTTATCCACTTTGTTCTTATTTATCTTTTAT